CCGACGGCGCCCTGGTTGTTTCTGCTGGCGTTGAGTTCGGTGGGTCCCAACTTGTTTTTTTCCAGACGGACATTGCGGGCACCGCGAAGAATTCCTCCGACGCGTTCCAGCCCTGCATGACGTGAGGTGGCAACTTTTTTGGCGGCTGGATCATCCAGCCGCCAAGCAGTTGCATCTAGCCTGGATTCAGTGGCTTCCCGGACCCCGAGGAGGAGGAGGGGGAGGAGGAGGGGGAGGAGGGGGAGGAGGAGGAGGAGGAGGAGGGGGAGGAGGGGGAGGAGGAGGAGGAGGAGGAGGAGGAGGAGGAGGAGGAGGAGGAGGAGGAGGGGGAGGAGGAGCATCCAAGCAGTTCATCAGCCTGTCCAGATTCTTTCCCCAAGATCTCTTGGGATCTCTGCCCCGGCCCGACGTCGGAGACCCCAGCTTCGTCAATGCTGATGGCGCGGTCGAGGATTTCCAGCGCGTCGCTCCTGATGGTGAACGCGGCGTCCTCGCGGACATGTGGGGGCGTTCTCCAGTCCTTGCTCGACCAGCGCGACTTGTTATGATGATGATGGTGATGGTGATGGTGATGGTGATGGTGGTGGTGATGGTGATGATGCTGATGATGATGATGATGATGATGATAAAAAAGTAATAGTTTTAATGTACGTGTCCTTATTATCCTTCTTATTCGTCGCAGCATTAACATCATTTCATCGCAGTGTTAACATTTTTTCGCAGCATTAACATTATCATCATCGCAGCATTAACATTATGTTTATGTATTATTCATGTTGTTGTTTGCTATGTCTATGTTTATTCTTCTTCCTGGACCCTTCGTGGGTCGGTTCCCGCCGCGGCGAGCGCCGCTGGCAGTGCGTCGAGGGAGCTCGAATCCTTTCGAGTCCTTCGCTCCTCCTCCTCCTCTTCCTCCTCTTCCTCCTCCCCCCCCCTCCTCCTCCTCCTCGTCCTCCTCCTCCTCCTCTTCCTCCGCCTCTTGCGCATCCGTGGCCATTTTGGCTCGAGATGCTTTGTTCCACAGGGGGTCGCGTGGATGCCGCGAGTCCGCGGCAGTCAAGGGTGTTCCGCCTGGTTCCCATTTCGGGGGACTCGCGCTCCGTCGTCGCCAGCGCGGCAGCGGCTCGAGCTCTCTCGCTCCGATCGAGCCATGGGCAAGGGCCGGCGTGATCGGCGCTCGCAGGGGCAGCAGTTCGTGCAGTGCAAGGCGTCCGGCTAGAAGTGGAACTTCGCCAAGAACACGTTCTGCTACTCGTGGCGAGCTCAGCTGCAGCCTCGCGTCGCCGCCGCTCGACCGCCTGCTGGCGCTCGGGCGCCCCGCGGCTCCGCGCCCGTCGGTCGCGGCAGCGGCGGGGGCTGGGTGTGGGGGCCAAGGGTGGCGGCGGTGCGGGAGGCAAGTGGCCTTCGACCCCGCCCTGGCGGTCTGCGCCCCCAGCGCGCAGCGTCGCCGACGCCATCGCATCTCTCGTCGAAGGCGTCGGCGCGGGCGACGACAGGCACCTGGCCCTGCGCGGGGCGGCGGGGGGTCTCGAGCCGAAGCCGCCCGCTCCACCTGCGTGCGCTCCCTTCGCGGCGATTGCAGTCAGTGATCAGTCGCGGGGGCCATGCCGTCGAGAAGGTGGAGTGGCACCGCCGCCAGCGCTGCGGCCTGGAGCAGCGGCTGGCCGCCTCCAGCGCCGAGCTGGAGCGCGCGCGCCTGACCGTGGCCGCTGCGCGCGAGGAGAATTGGCGGGCAATGCGGGAGCAGCTGCCGTCGCCCTCCTCCGCGCGCGCTCCTTCGGCCGAGTCCATCGTCTGGGAGGCCGTGGACCTCGACGACCTCGGAGACGCGGCGGAGGGGGGGGCCGAGGCGCTGCCGGCGGAGCAGGGGTCTTTCTGGGCGCAGGCGGAGGAGGCCGAGCGCGCGACCAGAGGGTTGCCATCTTCCTGCAGCGCGACCAGCAGGTCGTCGAGGAGGCCCGCAAGAAGCGCGGGCTTGGGCAGGCGGCGCCGTCGCCGGCCCCGGCGACCCCGCCAGCGGCCCCGCCGGCCCCGGCTGCTCCAGCTGCCCCGGCAGATGCGCGCCCCGCCGCGGCCCTTGCTTCCCCCCGCGCCTGTGGCGGACGAGCCAATGGGGGGCGCTGAGCTGCGGCAGCTGCGATCACCCTTTCACCTCCCAGGCATCTGGAGAGACTGCCCCGAGCTGTAGCGTCGCCGTTGCCACCGACGAGTTGGTCGAGGGAGTTGAGCGCAAGCTGGGTGGTGCTGTCCGCCCTTCGATCTCTGCAGCAGCTAGTTCACGCGGCGCGCTGCAGGGCCACCTTTGCCAGGGCAAGGACGGGGGGACGAACGGCCACGCCCTGCGCCGTCAAGGGGGGGATCGGGGGGAGGACAAGCTGGCGCGAGGGGGGGGGGCCCCGCCATCGGAGGCCCTCAGGTCCGCCCTAGCTCGCCAGCTCCCGATTTCTCCCTTACGTCACCACAAGGACACGTCAAGCTTGGAGGTGAGCTCGACGAACTGCTTTCGCAGCGTACTACCGACGACCCCGACAAAAACGTGCTTCTTTATTGCTTTGGGCATAACGGGCATTATAGCCCCCGGCCCCCCCCCGATAACGTAACGCCCCCCCCCCCCCCCCCTGCGCCCCGGGCGCTGCCGCCGAGCGCATCGGGATCCGCATAAGCGTCCGCATAGGAATCCGCATAGGGGTCTGGTCCGCAGTCGTCGCCGTGGTCGTCGTCGTCGTCGTCGTCGTTGTCGTCGTCGTCGTCGTCGTCGTCGCTCGTCGCTCGTCGCTCATCGTCGTCGTGCGCGCGGACGCGGGTGGAGCCTTTTTTAAAATTCCGGGCCGATGATGGCCGTCATCCGGGGGTGGAGGATGGGGCCGATGACGTCACGTTTCGCGCTGGCGGCGTTTGGGAATGCCTAGGAATGACCGAGGACGGGTGGCAGCAGCATGTCGGTGGCGACCTGCACCACAGCGACTGTGTACACCACAGTGCCTGCGTGTATCACAGCGCCTGTGTACACCACACAGCGTATGTACACCACGTCAGCCGCGTGCAACACTGTGCCAATGTGTGCCCAGTGCCTGCTGGCACCACAACGCTTGTATACACCACAGCCCCTGCGTACACCGCATCAGCGATGTGCGACGCAGCGCCTGTGTACACCACAGTTCTCGCGTTCACCATTTGGGAATCCGTGGAGCTCTTGAGAATCCGTGGAGCTCTGCCAATTTTCAAGACGAATCTGCGCGGCACCATGGCGAAAACCACATTTTGAAAAAGAACCGCCATCAACCCGTGAAGCTCTTGCAAGTTGTTAAAACGACTGTGCGCGGCGCTAATGCGAGAGCCGCTAAGGCGAGAACCACATTTTAAAAGGAGCCGCCCTCGATCCTTGAAGCTCTTGCAAATTTTGAAAAACGAATGTGCGCGGCTTTAAGGCGAGAGCCACATTTTGAAGAGCAGCCGCCTTCAATCTGTGAAACCCTGGCAGATGGCGAGAGCCACATTTTGAAAACGACCCGCCCTCAATCCATGAAGCTGTTGCAATTGTTTAAAGGAATGTGCGCGGCGCTCAGGCGAGAGCCACATTTTGAAAAGGAGCCGCCCTCAATCCGTGAAGTTCTGGCAAATTTTGAAAACGAATATGCGCGGCGCTAAGGCGAGAGCCACATTTTGAAAAGGAGCCGCCCTCAATTTGTGAAGCTTTTGCACATGTTTGAATCACATGTGCGCGGCGCTAAGGCGGGAGCTATATTTTGAAAACGACCCGCCCTCCATCTGTGAAGCTGTTGTCATTTTTTAAGCTTAAGTGTCATAGATGGTGGGGAAGTCTCAGGCGAAACGCCCGGCCCGCCCTAAAAACTTGCTTCGGGGTGCGACAGAGAAAAGTTATTTCAAAGGAGAAGGAATGGATGAGGAATGGAGGAGGAGGAGAAGGAGGAGGAGGAGGAGGAGGTGGAGGAGGAGGAGGAGGAGGAGGAGGAGGAGGAGAGGAGGAGAAGGAGGAGGAGGAGGAGGAGGTGCAGGCGGAGGTGGAGGTGTAGATGGAGGAAGAGGTGGAGGAGGGGGGACGGAAAAACGTCACACTCTACTCTCAACACTTCCCTGGCGTGTCCGCAGCAGGTCCTCACTTACATGCTCCTTCTACTTTTCCTGTGCACGCAGGCGTTGTGTGGTGTACACCAGCGCTGCGTTGCACGCGGGTGCTGTGCTGTAGAGAGGCGTTGTGGTGTGCACAAGCGCTGCGGTGCTCGCAAGCATTGTGGTGTACACAGGCGCTGTGCTGCACATGGTTGCTGCGGTGTACACATTCGTTGTGATGTACACCGGCGCTGTGGTGCACGCGAACACTGTGGTGTACACAGGCGTTGCGTTGCACACGGCTGTTGCGGTGTACGCAGGGGCTGTGGTGTACTTGCGCATTGTGGTGCACGCGAGCAACGTGGTGTACACAGGCGTTGTGGGGCAGATCGCCACCTACATGCTGCTCCGATTTGGGTTTGGTCATCCCTAGGCATTCCTGGACGCCGCCATCCCCCCCCGCCCCCCGTCGCCCCCTATAACGCCCATGATCGCCGAAAATACAAAAACGTGCTCCAATCTGCCCAAAGCCGACGACGTCGAGTACGCCTTGGACCCAGGGCTCTGGTCTCGTTTCGCTGATGCCGCGCGTGGACAACGGCTTCGTGCTCAGCGCCCTGCGGAGCAACACCATTTCTTGTTTTCCCGCTCCCCGTCGGCCACCGACCGCGCCTCGAAGCTCTACGCCCAGTGGGTCGGCAACCCTCGAGGACGCGCGGATCAGTGCCGAGAAGGTTGGGGAGCGCAGCGCTGCCGCCATGAGAGCGGGGCCAAGGCTACCGCATCGAGCGGCGCAGGATGACGTCAACACCGAGCCGCGCACACCTACTGGACCCCGTCCTGGACGGCTGGCTGTCGCTCAGTGCGTTGCTGGTTCGCCTCGTCGCTTTGCTGACGAACGTCGCCGACCTCCAGCAGAGGCAGCGCGCGTGCGTCTCCCAGGCCGCTCATCTCCTTCGTGCCCGCGGGAAGCGGAGAACAGCGACCAGCAGTACTTCGGCAAGTGCTTCGCGCAGGAGGCCAACGGTTGGTGCATGCGCGCCAGCATCTTCTTGCAGCAAGCTTCGCCATGCTTCGAGGGCATCGAGCTGCTGTCGGCGGTCACCAACAGATGGTGTCACCGGATGGTGGGTCGGAGCCTCCAGCGGGCCCGGAACGGGCACGTGCGGTGGGCCAACGAATCTTGAAAGAAGAAGCTTGGGATTGTCCATCGGCAGATCAAGGAGCCCGACGTCGAGCAGCTGGAGACCCATTGCCTTGAGGTGGGTGCCGGCGGCGACATTGCGTCTCGGTCGATCGTCCACCCCGACGCCATCATGGAGCAGAAGACGTTGCAGAGGGATCGCGTGTGGAAGGATCCGTGGCCGTGCTCGACGTGTCCCTTCGCCGCGCCCCATCGGCCGCGACGAGGTCCGCGACGGCTTGCGCCGTCTGAGTTCGGGCAGGGCGCGCGGCATCGACAATCTCAGCCCCCTGGACCTCCAGCGGATGCCCGACCAGGGGGTCGAGGATTTGGCGGCGCTCCTCAATTCGTGCGAGGCGGAGGGGGCACTGCCGTGACAGGTGTCGGCGGTGATCGGCTGCGCCATTCCCGAGCGACCTAGGCGAGATGGGATTATCGGGATGCTTCCCGCTACTTGCAAACTGTGGTCGAAGATCCGAGCAGCGGCGACCGACGAGCGGGGCAACTCGCAGGCCGAGGGGCGGGGCGCGGCAGCATGCCGCTCGTGCATGGGCGCGTGCGACGTCAGGTGCGGCTGGGCCGCGGCCGCCCTCCTCCTCCACATCGAGAAGTTCTGCGAATCGACCTCGTTCGTCCGCGTGCTGGCCGCAGCTGCGCAGCAGGGCTTCCCCGCCATCGTCGCAGCCCCAGGGGGTTGCGGCTCTTCGCTGGGCTCCGCCACCTCCGTCGACGCGCCTGGCTCGGGTATCGGCCCCAAGCCGAGCGGCCTGTGGTGGCGGGGTCTTGCCGCGGAGCAAGCTGGCCGAGGTGCTCGGGCCCGTGGTCGCTCGGGCGCGCCGCGCCTGTGAGCGGCCCCGCCAGTGGGCGTTCGTCGACGACGCTCTGCTCGTGGCCGTCGGGGCCCGCCAGATGGCCAAGTCCGACATCTACAAAGCAGCGGTCGCTTTCAAGGATGGCCCCGACCAGGCTGGCTTCGCGATGTCCAGCAAGTCTGCCCTGATGTGATCCGACCTCGCTTTGTGGCGGTCTTTGGCCGCTGGGCTTGGGCAGCTGGCGTTCCGACGTCTTGCGCCCCGCGGGCGGCCGACCTGCGCGCGGGCGGCGGCGGTGCAAGCGGCGGGCCAAGGGGCGCTTTCAGGCTGCTGGAGGGCGCCCCGCCAGGCCCCGCGGGCGCGGAAGGAGGTCCGCATGGCGAAGTTCACCGAGATGCTCTGGGCGACGGGCGCGCAGCCGCAGGCCACCTACGGCCGCCGGGCTGCTGCCTCGACCGACTGCAGGCACCTGTGCCAGCCGTGCCAGCCATCGCGCAAGGGTAAGGATCACCACCCACCAAACCACCCCAACCCAACCCGAAGGCTTCCATTTGCCCTCCATTTCTAGTGGGGGGGGGGGGTCGGGGAACATCGAAAAACACATAAGGAGCCCATACCCCCCCCAACCCGAAGTTCGGGTCTTCGGGTTGGGTTGGGGTGGTCTGGTAGGTAGTCAAAGGAGAACTTCGCGCGCATTTCCCGGGGCCTCCACCCCTGCCCCCAAGGAGCTCCGAAGGCTGTCTTGGCGGCCCAGAAGGTCCTCACGGGCGGGGCGTCGGGGCCCGCGCCAGGGGCTGCAGGGGGAGGGGCCTCTTCGCAAGCGTAGGAAGGGACGCTGCGCCCCCAGGCTCCTGCTCCTACTCCGCCTCCTGCGCCCGGCCACACTGATGACACCGAGTCCACCACGTGAATGGGGAGGTACAACATCATCAACCATCAAACAGCAGGGGCAGCCGCGCCTCCAATGGCGCAATCGTGTTGCTGCTGCTGAAGCTCGACGAATGGCCCTCCTCCTGCTCCTGCTCCTGCTCGCTTGCCCCCCTTCCGCCTGCTCCCTTCGGGGCCATGCGGCAACTTCGCGCACGCCGCAGGAGGAGGTCGCGGTGAGCCTCGGCCCGCCGTCGGCCCCGGACGTCTTGGAGGACTCGAGAGGAGACCCCGCCGCGTCGCGCCGCAAGCACGGCGGAAGAATTTCGGGTGGGTTGGTCGGTTTTTGGAGGCCTCCTCGTCTCCAGATGCCCTCCAGCAGCTGCGCCTCGTCGAGATCATGCCGGGGTGCCCGGATCGTTCCGATCGGCCGCCAGAGGCCCGAGTTATGTCCCGAAGGTTTGTCCTTTGGGTCGATCAAGGTTCGACGTTCGAGGATCGAGCTGCGAGGTTCACTTTCTGGACGCGTTCGATCGTCCAGGGGCGCCCCTGTGGCCACGCCCGGATCTGCCCCGAGATCGTGGTCAGAACGCACCCCGCGAGAGGTCCAGGGGTCGATCTGCTCTGACCCCTGATCCGGGGCAGCGCTGGCGGACACTCGGCGCGGTGGCAGCGGCAAGCTGGGCTGCGGGATCGCAGATCGAGTACGGGGCGCTGGAGCAGCGAAGGGGGCGGCCGCGGAGGGAGGCGAGGGGCGGAGACGTGGACTCAGCTCGTGCAGGGAGGAGGAGTGGAGGAGGAGGAGGAGGAGGAGGAGGAGGAGGAGTAGGAGGAGGAGGAGGAGGAGGGAGGAGGAGGAGGAGGAGGAGGAGGAGGAGGAGGAGGAGGAGGAGGAGGAGGAGGAGGAGGAGGAGGAGGAGGAGGAGGAGGAGGAGGAGGAGGAGGAGGAGGAGGAGGAGGAGGAGGAGGAGGAGGAGGAGGAGGAGGAGGAGGAGGAGGAGGAGGAGGAGGAGGAGGAGGGAGGAGGAGGAGGAGGAGGAGGAGGAGGAGGAGGAGGAGGAGGAGGAGGAGGAGGTGGAGGAGGAGGAGGAGGAGGAGGAGGAGGAGGACCCTCGCGAGCAGTGCAGGCGGCCCCCGTCTCCCGAGGGGGACGCCCCGCGAAGCAGGAGCCTCACAAGCAGAAGCTGGCACAGGTCCGCGCGGAGTTCTTCGGCCGGCGCCGGTGCCCCCTGTTGGCACCTGCGGCGCCGTCCTCGGCGCGCTGTCCGCACCAGGGGAGGGGGGGGGTCCAGCGCCGACCCAAGACATCCGCGCAGACCAGCGGCAGGTTGTGTTTGTTCAGCAGTTGTTATTCCAGCGGGGGCGGGGAAAGGGAGGAACCCTCAATGAGTGTTTGGCCACTGCCACCGCTGGAATCCGAGGGGAACGCTAGGAGATTGAGAAGGGTACGGCCTCCGGGGCAGATTGAGGAGATTGTGCGAGATTGAGGAGGGAGCGCTTGGAGATTTAGGAGACTGTGGGCGTAGCTCCATGCACGTGCTTCTCCGTGCCCAACAGCTGTCGTAAGCGCAGCTGATCTGCCGTGCCGTCGCGGGCTCGTTGTTCCCGAGCAGCGAGCTCCCCGAGCAAGGAGGAGCAACTTTAGATGTCATTCTTGGGGACCACAGATTCAGTGTCGTCGCATTTCTGATTCCGGGTTTGTGTTGCATTGTTGTTGCATTGTTGTCGCGTTGTGTGTGCGTGGTTGCTCTAGGGGGGCCGAGGATGGCGGCTTGTGGGCACCCTCGGGCTTGCGGCCTCCCACGGGGGTTGTTTTTGAAGCGGCGGCCCAGGACGTGCGTGGCCGACTGCGACGTTCGGAGAGTGCGATATTCCTTTCCTCTCCTCCACTCCTCTCTCCCTTCCCTTCCGCCCCATGCTGCGCTGTAGTTCTGGAATGATTTGGTGGGAATTCGCACCGATAGGCCCAAGCTTTCTCAGTTCTTTCGTCTTCTCTCTTTTTCCTGCTCCACCTTTCTCCTCGCGCTGGCCTCATGCCGCGATTTCAGGGGCAGTGCGAGTATTATGTGAGATGTGCGAGGCTTGTTGGCGAATGCGACGTACTGGAAAAATGCGGGAGAGCAGGGGGAGGAGGATGGGGAAGGAGGAGGAGAAAGGAGGAGGAGGATGAGGCAGGGGAGTGGGAAGGGGGAGGAGACAGAGGAGTAGGACAAATGGAAGGAGGAGGAGGAGGAGGAGGAGGAGGAGGAGGAGGAAGAGGAGGAGGAGGAGGAGGAGGCCCCCCTCTGGCTGCCGAGCCCGCGTGGCGCCATTCACGCCCCCGCCAGGGCTGATTGTTGTCGCGGCATGGCGTAGACCACTCGGGGGTACCGGAAAACGGGTGTGAGGGGGGGTGAGGAGGAGGAGGAGGAGGAGGAGGAGGAGGAGGAGGAGGAGGAGGAGGAGGAGGAGGAGAGGAGGAGGAAGAGGAGGGGAGGAGGAGGGGGAGGAGGAGGAGGAGGAGGAGGAGGAGAGGAGGAGGAGGGGGGAGGAGGAGGAGGAGGAGGAGGAGTAAGAAGAGAGAGGAGGCGGAAGAGGACGACGGCAGGAGGAGGAAAAGGGGGGGGAGTAAGAAGAGGGAAGGGGAGCAGGAGGAAGAGGAGGAGGGGGAGGGCAAGACAGAAGGAGGAGGAGGAGGGGGAGGAAGACGAAGGGGAGGAACGCAAGGACCACGAGGAAGAGGAGGAGGAAGAGCACGGTGACTAATGTGCCCATGGGTTATTGCCTTGATGCGCCATTTTGGAAGACGGCGCAATTCACCTGGTGATGTGACGGATTTGCTGTTGCTTCTGCATTATTGTTGTCGTCCTCTTCTTTGTCGTTTTATCTCCAGCCCCTTCCCTTTCAAATCATTCGCAGCTCACGGCCCAGAGAAATAGCAGTGCCTGCCCCGATGGATTCACTTGTTCCCCACGCGAGGGCGGTGCGCCCCGTGCTCGGCCGCTTGGTGGAAGCATTATCAGGGCACCCGGAGCTGTGTCGTGGCACAGCCGCAGCTGCAGAGCGTCTCCTCGAGGTGCTCGAGGACAGCGTTTTGCCGAGGGCGCGTCTATGCCACCACCGTGCTTAGGCGGGGCCCACTCTCGGAACCAGGACGGTGGATGTACACCCCTGACCGAGGCCAGGGGTGTCCATGCATAATCCTGGGTACCTGGATGGCCCTGCCCAGGCACGGCGGCGGCGCATAGATGCCACCGAGGAGGAGTTCGATTACCCCGCCCGGGCGCCTGGCGCCGCCAACCCGAAGAAGCGCATCAAGCGTTTGGAAAACCAGCTGGCCCATGCCCGGAAAAAGGCGCGCGTGGCCAAACAGGCGCTGCAGTGCGCTGTCCGCGCGAAGTCATGCGGCAGGACACGGGCTTTCCGAAGCCCCCCAAATTCTGCGTCGAACCTTTCCTCGTGACATTGGCGTGTCCACGTCTTGGGGGGATTGCGCCGCCCAGGATCACCAACTTATGGCGCATCAAAGTCGCCCTGGTCGGCCCGCAGACAAGCTTGCAAACGTTGTCGCATTGGTGCAGGGACTTCCCGCCGACCGAGGCGCAGGAGTTCGGTTATCCCCAAAACCAGTGGGCGCTTGTTCGCGCCCCGCCTTCGGCAGCCCAGAGCCTGGAGCCGACGAGGATTGTCGTGGACTGAGCTCGCGCCGCCTTCCTTGTTCCCTCCTCCGTGGCCGCCCTCTTTTTCCTTTTCTGCGAATGGCTCGGGCTGCCCAGGGGGCGGGGCTTGCGCTTTATACAGGCGCCCATGGGCCGAGGGATAGCCGACCCCAGAACGTGTCGCGGCAAACGATCGCTGCGACTCGGGATACTTTCGCGGAGCTTGTGAAGAAGGTGGGCTTCGACTCCCTGGCAGCGCGAGCTGCAGAGATCGATTCGGGTTCTCTGGGCGGCGGCAACCCTGGTCAAAGGGGGCCTTCTGCCCCGCCCCCCCTGGGCCACCCCCGTTCTGGCGACGTCGACGGGGGCGGCGACGGCGACGGCCACGGCGAC